ATCATCAATTTAGCCATTGTCTATCCACTGCAGGATGAAGACCTCTTCCCCATGTTTCCAACTAATATGATCCTGAGCTTTCTTTTGCCAATTGGGCCCACAATACTTGCTGATGTCATCACTCCATCTTGTTTTAGGTCTCTTTTGTGGACGCTTTTTATCAAATGGGGTCCATTCCATGACTGCCTTGATCCACCTGCCATCAGTTCTTCTTGCTATGTGACCAGCCCATTTCCATTCCAATTCTTTTACTCTCTTAATGATATTGTATACTTTCGTTTGTTCTGTAATCCAAGTCCAGGTCTTTTTATATTGTCTTGTAATGCCAAGCATGTATCTTTCCATGTCTCTTTGCGCCATGTATTTTGCCCAATTCAGAAAGAAAAAGAAGCTTTAAGAAACATGGTTTGTTGGAGACAGTTTAAACTGTGTTGTGATAAATGCCTTATGACAATTTTGCTATGATAGGATAGAAAAGTAAGCTCCCAAGTTGGAAATCATAAAGCAAGTATAGCATGCATAGAACCTGGAATGAACAAACCTATTAGGATTGTAGACACAGAAAAAGCTGAAATCCTAATAATGGAATCTGTAAGAGCTTGTGCTAATTTATCTTAATATCCAGTCTGGTCTTATGAGCAAAACAAAACAAAAACATTACCCCATGGCTTTTTTTTAGAACCAGAACAGTTTTCTGATATCAAATTGCAGGTAGTTTTTTTGACAATGATGATTTCTCAATGGCATGAAAAGTGTTATTATAACGTTAGTTTTGAAGAAAAGAGGAGAAAGTTGGAAGTGCATGAAGTTAGGTGTTGCTTGAATTAGGATTCTTGCGCATGTACATGCTTGGCCACAAAAATATCAGAATAGAAATATCATTTTAGTCTCTTAAAGAGGTGAGATTGACAGGCAGAAACCATTGTTGTTAGTAGAGATTCTGAAGAAGAATGCCTTTCTTTAGTTTTAACGTTTATTTTAATGCCTAAGGTCCAAATTTAGTGTCCATCTTTTCTGTCAAAAAAAGGAAAGATGTAAATCCTGGAACTAAATGAACAGGAAAATTGTTGTAGATTGGACGAAAGATTCGTTTGAGTTGGTACATATTTTGTATACTTTTGTGCTTTTTCTCAATGAAGTACTCTTGTAAAAGGTGAATGAACAATTGATTATGCTGTGAATATATCATCAGAATATATGGACTGATATATTGTATAAATAGGATTCTTTCACAAGGAGCAGAAGGAGAAGATTGAGAACTAGTTAAGAAAGAACTATTGCTCAGTGGCTAAATGCATATTCTGGGTATTGTGCTCCTGGTATCTCCAGAATGGTTGGGAAAAATGCCTGTTTGAAAAATGTACTGTCAGTTAGTGGACAGTCTATTCTTATGACTTGCTATTTTATTTTATTTTATTTTATTTATTATTTTATTTTATTTTATTTTATTTTATATTTTATATTTTATATTTTATTTTATATTTTATTTTATTATTTTATTTTATTTTATTTTATTTTATTTTATTATTTTATTTATTTTATTTTATTTTTTTATTTTATTTTTATCCCACCTTTATTACTTTATACATAACTGAAGATGATGAGTATGCCTGATACTCCTTCCTATTTTCCCCATAATAATTATATGAAGTGGGTTGGACTAAAATAAAAGGACTAGCCCAAAGTCAGCCAGAAGGCTTTCATACCTAAAGTGGGACTAGAACTCCCAGTCTCTTGGTTTCTAGGCCAGCACTTTAACTACTACACCAAACTGGCTCTCTATATATATATTAAAGAAAATCTTCATATGGTTCCAATTGATACAAATGCAGATATCTTGAAATTCTCTTCTGTTAGAAATACAGTAATAGAAAAGCAAATGGTTGCTTGGGTTTATGGCTACCATTTTTTATTATATAAATGTCTTAGCTGATATGAATGAAATGGCTTCATTATTGAGAACTGGCATTTGAGTAAGATTTATTGCAATATTAAAACTTTTTGATGGTTGGAAGGGGGAGAGCTTTTTCACTACGCAGAATTACATTAATTGGTTGGGCTTCAAATGTATTTTGCAATCTATAGGTTTTTTATTTTTGTCTCTATGATATATTACTTAGAGTAAAGGTTGCTTTATTGATGTGATATGCAAAGGTTATTATATCAATATATTGCAGAGAAAATGCAAGGGAAGGAGAGTGCAGAGGAAATATTTTCTGAAGCTTTTTCCAATAAGTGGCATCATGGTGTTTTGAAGTGGGTATCTCCATCCCATTCACTGTGGAGGACTAAAAAGGTTGTGAGGGATGTTTGTTTTGTCTCAATTTTTCTCAGCCATTCACCTCAGCAGTGCCAATGGCCAGCAAGGTAATTTTGTGCACATCTGACTCAGATGCCTTCTTTCAGACCAGTCACAAAGGGAAGAGGAAAAACTGTTCTTGGATGAGGGAGAGGATCAGCATCCAGACCCCAAATCTACCAGACCATTTAAAAAAGTAGAATTTCCATAATTATTCAGGAAAGTCAACAGTATCATAGGCCTGAAAGATCCAGAACCACTCATGGCTGTTTATTCTCTGATGGCAGAGACACTCTATGTTCATAAACTCTCCATCTAAAGAGACCTGGAGGCAACATGAGTAAAAGCAAAATACCTAATCAGGTGTTTAGACATTAGGCATCTTGACATTAGCCTTTAGGGTTAGGGTTACTAACACATGCATGGGGCAATTTAGGTAAACAAAAGTTTCCTAATTGTTAAAATAGTTTTTTAAACAATAGATGTATCTGGATATATGATTGCTGCAAGTTTAGAGGTGTTCCTCATAACTATGCAGTAAAATCTTAGGCTTAATTGCATAGACCTACCTAATATTAACATTCATAATGAAGTAGAGTGAAGAGATACAAAATCATGGCTTAAAATGGATTTACAAATTGTGCCTTCTGGGTAATTAAAGTTATATTACACCTGTTTTGCTGCTGGTGGTGGTAGAAACATTTTTAGCAGCTTTCTTGCCCCTGTGGGTGTTCTGCATGGGTGATGAGAGATATTCTTATTATTTTCTTCCTATACTAATTTCATTCAATTTTATAAAAATCACTTCTTTAAATTTTATTTACAAATTGCTTTAATTTTAATCAAGTGGCTGACATTTTACAAAATTAACAAATGTTAAATTGCTTTGCATTTTAATTAATTCTGTGGGTACAATCTAATGGTTAATCCAATTCATACAATAAACCATAAGTACTTAACCAGGGTATTGAGCAAAAAAGGGGATTTGCTATGAACTTCAACATTTCATAATGCTTTTTATTAAATGAATACATTACTTTAACAGAATAACAGAGTTGGTAGGGACCTTGGAGGCCTTGTAGCCCAACCCCTTGCTCTAGTCCAAATCTCATACTTTGATTATGGTCAGGCCTTGTTAATATGATCTAAATATATAAAAAGTTCTAGCAATAAAACAACAAGTGCTACATTTGTTGGTTTGAGAACTAATATCAGAGAAAGAATATTGTATATTTCTGTTACCATTGGGTCTTGGGTGTATGGAAGTTATATCATCTTTATATACCTTTATGTACCATCCTTATATACTTTGGCATGCCCATGAGCTTCCAAACCCAAATTCCTCAGCGTGCCTAGATGAGGAATTCTGGGAGTTGAAGTCCACAAGTCATAAAAGGGCCAAGTTTGAAGACTCCTGCTTTAAAGTTTCACAACTCTAAATACGCTAAGAATACAGAGTTGCTTTCCTGCTACCTTCAATCATAGGTGCATCATAGAGAAAGTTCGATCACATCATGGACGCTCCTACAGTTCAGTCCCTGTGCTGTATCAGCACCCAAAGGTTCAATGCGCAAAGGTTTTGCCCAGAAATCCCATTCCTCATCTCTTTCTTTGCCAGAAAATTTGGCAGAAATCCATTACAATAGCCATGATTTTTTTTTAATTTATTGTCTACCCCACCCTAAAAACAACAGCACTTAAAGATAAAAGGCTCTAATTATAGTGCTAAATCCATGCTACATTGCTGAGAGATAATTGGTTTCTCAAGGCTGTTCAGTGAATTCTATAATCTTGTCCTTTCACTAAAATAGGAGGTATGGCTGCCTTTTTTTGACTTAGAGACCTCCAGATGTAAATGCCCAGAAAAACAGCTTCCATAATTCCTTACCCTGGAGGGCACCAGTTTGGGGACAATTGCTCTAGAAGCAGATTCCTACATGAAGAGGAGATGTATCTCCTTTCAGAATGAAAATGGCAGGTGCTGACTGTGGAATTCCTTCCCTGAATTCACCAAAATGAATGAGCTTTCAGCTAAATACCTACCCGTGTGGGCTTGATTGAAATTGCTGTGCCTGTTATGATGTTTCTATTGTCGCCCCTGTGGTCTTGTTTTAAGTTTTGTCATTTTGTATGTTGTTATTAGTGTGTTTTATTTTTCTTTGGAATTACTGGGAATTGTTTTAATTCAGCCAATTAGATTGCTCCTCTAGCCAAGTGAGGGTTGTGATAGTGAGTGGGAGCATCCATCATACTTGTTGTAACAACAGATGTGTTGAAAAAGCCACAGTGATTGGCTACAAGTTTTATAAACCACAATGGCTGGTTCAGGCAGCATGTTAAACTGAAACTATTTATGGTTTAACACGATGGGTGAACTCAGCAGCTGTATTGTGTTTGGAAGATAAAAATTTGACAATGCTGATTGCTGTGGCAAACTGGTATGTCTAGTAACGTCTAGATCAGGGGTAGTCAACCTTGGCTCTTTTATGACTCGTGGACTTCAACTCCCAGAATTCCTGAGCCAGCACAGCTGGCTCAGGAATTCTGGGAGTTGAAGTCCACGAGTCATAAAAGAGCCAAGGTTGACTACCCCTGGTCTAGATAATTGGGGAAAGATGTTCTGTTATGGTCCGAGTTGTCTTGCAAATGCAAGTTTGAAAAGTTTTTTTTTATGTTTTAACTGTGCTTACCTTTCATTCAGAAGTTGGTGTTGTTTTTGAAGAAACAGAGGCCTGCGACTGGTGGAGTTTGGGTGTCCTTCTCTTTGAACTCCTTACTGGAATGGTATGGTGTACCTTTAAGGAAAAAGTATGCCATGTTCTGAAATCCCACAGAAAATTGGGGAATTAGTTCTAGGCTGCAAATATCCAAAGGCAGCTAAGAGATACAGAAAAGTAATGTTTTGTTCACATATAGGGGGACATCAGGATTTTTGCAGCCTAGAAAGCATTAATAATATCATACTATAAAATAACAAAAATATAGGATAGGAACTTTCGTATTGTAAGAAAAAAAACAGAACAATTGAAGATACTATTTTTTTATTAATTTATGTATTTATTTCCTGCCTTTATTATTTTTACAAATAACTCAAGGTAATGAGTTATTTGTAAAACATCTTTCTTCTCCTATTTTGCTCACAACAATTATGTGAGGTGGGTTGGACTGAGAGAGTGATTGGCCCAAAGTTACCCAACTAGCTTTCATGGCTAAGGTGGGACTTAAACTCATGGTCTACTACCTTCTAGCCTGGTGCCTTAACCACTAGACCAAGCTAGTACTCTACCACATACATCATTTGTTGAATAAACCACAGATGGCCACGTTCTTACAATGTGCTAAGCCATAAACAATGGCCTATACCACTACTAGTTCACAAAGTGTTTTAAAATGAAACTGAACATATTATGATTTAGCATGGTGATGAACCCAGACATATATTTTTCTTACAAGGAAGAAAAATAGTGCTTATTTTATTATGATGCTGTCAATAGGGCATGCTATTGGGGTTTAGGGTACATAATGTGTTTCTGGGGCCAAAACTATGGATGTAAAAGAAGTATTCCCTTTGAAATGTAACACTAAGGAACAAGAAGTAATTAAAAATGAATGCAAGTTGCTGGGGTACACTGTGGAAGTTAATTCATGAAAAAGATGTATCTTATTTCATTGTTCCTCATTTGAATAGAATAGAATTTAAATGTTTTGTATTTGGCCCATCTTTATAGATCTTGTAAGACTTCAGGAAGACATAGTAAGATGCAAAGGGAATTTTTTTTAAAACAACATTTATTTGGCATACTTGTTCGATTCAACTTAGGACCATATTTTTTATTCAACAAATGAATCTTTCCCCCCAATTTCATCCTCCTTCCTCCAGCCTGGTGAAAGGGTTAAAGTATGTAGGAAGAAGGCAGGTCTTTTTGTTGGAAGGAGGGGCCTATTGGCTTCTTCCCCTCAGCTTCTTCTGAAAGAAAATGATGTTCCCTAAAGCAGGGGTCCCCAACCTCTGGGCTACAGCTCACTAGTGGGCCATGAGTTATTTGCAACTGGGCCATGGAAACGACAGGTGAGCATGCACACGTGCATTTCCACTTGTGTGAGTGGCGGCCACACGTGCTTGCAGCTTGCACAAATGGAGCTGCACATGCATGCTAGGCAACCACTCGTGCAGAACCAACCCTTCCCCCCCCTCGCCGGTTGCAAAGCAGGAAAGGTTGGGAAACTCTGCTCTAAAATAGGGGTGTCCAATCTTGGTAAATTTTAAGACTTGTGGACTTCAACTCCCAGAATTCCCCAGCCAGCATGGCTGGCTGGGGGATTCTGGAAGTTGAAGTCCACAAATTTTAAAGGTGCCAAGGTTGGATACCCCGGTCCTAACGTGTTTCTGAATATTTCCTCTTGCTAGTCTTGGTGTATGTTGAAATACAATTTCCACTATCCTTGAAGCTGATGAGAATTTGGGTGGGTTATGTCCGTATAAAAGAACATAATTAGGTTGGGTAACCTGCCTGAGAAATGGAGCGGAGATCTGTACCTCCTTGATCCTCGTGTCCCCATTCACATTTTCAGAACACCTATCAGCTTGTTTTCCAGATTTGTTTGCAGTGGAAAGAGATAATATGTGTATGCACAATGCAAAATAAATTTGTTTACAGTCTTTGGTGAGGAGATACCCACTGTAATTGCTTTGGGTTTTAATGAGATTCCATTATTGTTAGAGATTTTCACAGAGGTCATAATTACCTGTTTGAATTGTATATCTTAGCTTGCACCTCCATTTTTTCCATCTCACAACAGGGATGAGATTTTAGGCATACATAGTGAATATTCAAAAGGTGAAGCTCCTAAACCAATGTAAAGCTGCACTGTTCAGTTCTGCTGATAATCAGTTCTATTACACCTGATTAACTAGCTCACCTTGTTGAATTACAACGTCTTTCATTTCCAGTCAGCAATATCAGTCACTTTCTGGTTAAGAGTTATGGAAATATTAACATAGATTGAGGAGGATTACTTTTAAGTTTTTGAATATAGTAACATGCATCTCCATTCTTTATCATAACATGCACTTTAATATGATGCATTTCTTGTTGGTTTGCCATAGAGTCTCTTGGAGTGCCACCCAGCAGGAATAAATACTCATACCTGTTTAAACTTGCCAGATCACATTTCAGAAGAAGCCAGATCACTCCTTCAACAGGTAAATTCTTGATGAATGTGTACAAATGTTGTGCTCCTTGCTATGGCTAAAGTCAGATTAACATATGCCATATATTTTACTGAACATAAAAAAATGTAATAAATGGATTTTTGTTCACTTAGTGGAAATGACAACCCCTTATCACCTTACAGTGTTAATAAAATTAGCTTTGTTCTTTTTATACTTGATGTTGTAAAAGGTTTCCTATCTTTCCTATTTATCTTTAGAAGCTTTTATAAAGGATTTGGGAGTAATGTTTAAATTCAGCATCTGAAAATGTGCTAATAGGATTGTGGTTTATCTTAGTGTCCCCAGTAGCTACATCTTCTTAGCAGTAAAATTCTGTTTAATATGTAAACAAGTAAAGAAACTAAACTATTAATGCGTAGGGTAGAAATGTCTTACAGTTATACAATTATAAAAAATAGGAGCTATTTTGTCAGGAAAAGGTGAATGAACACTGGACTTAATTATTTAATTTTGGAAAGGAGAAAAGGAATGATTGAGAAGTATATAAGACCTATCCATCTGTTGTCACCAAATATAGCTTGGGCACAAAATTGCTGCAGAAATCCATTGATTTATCCTTAATTATCTCTCCTGACATAGATGATTTGGGAGTAAAGGTATATTTTTAATATTAAAGTTAGCATAATGTATTAGGATTTAGAAACATACTAAAACTTGGTTATTTTAACAAACTTTGATGATGGAGCCAAACTGATTTAGATCTGACCTCTTGTTTGAATGTTATGGTTCTTATGTTTTTTAAAATTGTTACTATCGTGTGGTTATTTTTATTGTTTTATCTATTTATGTAGATAGGATTATAAACCATTTATAGTCAGTATTCAGTGGGAGTAGTAGAAATTTACTTACTAAAATAAATAAATAAGAATAAAAGTATACATGTACTGTTAAGCCCAATGACTTCATCTAGTTATTAGACTCATAGAATAGAGGATATTTTATACTCTCCCTCAGAAAGGAGACTGAAAATGAATGGAATTTTACCATTGGCATCTTTGGGAGTTTATTAAAGCAATACATAGCAACTAGCACTTTATGCCAGACCGCTTGTTATTTTCCCTCCTCCCCCAGGTTCAAGGTTACCCATGTCCAAAAGGAAGTGTTTCATCTCTGGGCTGCATGTGGCTGACTTTACAGTTGAAGAGTCTGCTCCATTGGCTAGTAAATCAATTTTCTTTTGTGTGTCTTTCTAAGGAAACTACCATTCATTTTTGAGGAAGCTTTGTCAGGAAAAGGAAAAAGGGACTCTTGGCATAGCTAGTCATTTGTCATTATGATTTTCCTTTTCCACCTCCTCACAGGTTGCTTGGGTCAGCCCATCACAGAATGTCTAGGAGAGGAACAGTGTGCAGATACATGCCAAATGTGTCCCATGACATGGATTTCAAAATCATTGACCTCACTGAAAAAATAACACCCCACCCCGATCTAGCCAGCTAGAAGCTACGTACTTCAGAGCCATTATTATTATTATTATTATTATTCCTTAGTTTGATTATCTGAAGATACAGATGAAATTCTTGAGGCTCTCTTAATTGACATCAAATTTCTCGAAAGCTGCCCCAGTTAGCATAATAACCAGTCTCTTTTTGAACTATGCAACTTTAATGCAGCTTATTTTGCATTTTCTTTCTCATATTAAAAGTTTTTTCCTCGTAACAGGGAAAGCCTTCAGAACATAAATGTCTTTGTACTTAACTTTTCCACCTGGTATCAGTTGTTATATTTTCCAGAAGACGGCGGAGTGGCTGTTTTCTGACTGCTTATCTACTAACTCATGTATATTCACAAAGAAGGCTTGTTTTGTTATCTGAGTTATTTTACTAAGTGAGGTTAGAGCAATTTTAAGTGGCAGAGCCAACTTAAGATGTGCAAATGAATACATTTTATGGGGAAATTTCTCACTTTGATTATTAGATGTATGCATATGAAGGCACGCGCCCCAAATAATACCAGAGACAACTGCATTATGCTATAGTTCCCTTTAAAGGAAACTTAGAAATGAAATTATTCTTTTGAACTGCTTATGTGACAGACTCATAAGAAGGAAGAAATGTAAACTTCAGTTCCTTTATCCTTTGTAAATATTTTTATGCTTTGCTGGTTACTTCCTTTCAAACATTTTCAATCAGAAATTGCAGATAAGAAGAGTTCACTTCACTTTCTATGTATATATTCATCTCCCCTTTGACTTTATTGTGGATTTTTTTTTTAAAAAAAAAACCTACTTAGTATTATTACTACTAACAATCAATCGTACCATTTCTTTACATTTCATTTGTGAGACTTTAGCTGCCAAAGCTCCCTGGGCCTCTTTGAAGACTTTTTTTAGATCAATATTTTAATTGTCCGAAAAGCATCAGTTCATCTTAGTTTCCTCTGTCTGATCTGATCACATTGGTTTCCACTGAAACCCCATACTGGGGCTATCCATCAAGTAATATTTTTATCTTTTTCCATATGATTTAAACAAATATTTCTTGCATGTAGTGCAAATAGGGATACATTTTGTGACATACCTTCATTGTATATCGAGACTCCTGGCAACTGCCTGAACGTAATCCCTGCAGTTTTCTTGGCAGGATTTCAGAAGTGCTTTGCCATTGCCTCCTTCCTAGGGCTAAGAGAGAATGACTGGCCCAAGGACACCCAGATGGCTTTGTGCCTAAAGTAGGGCTAGAACTCACAGTCTCTTGGTTTCTAGCCTGATGTCTTAAACCGTGGCTGTCTCACACACCTTCATTAAAATCAGGTAAAAGGAAATTTAGTTTTCATCTAAACTAAGTGGAGACAGTCGATCTTTTTTCACTGTATTTCTTGTAGGCTGATAAATATAAGAGGCAGCATAAAAGATAATACCTCTGAAAATGACCACAGGGTGTTTTAATACAACAGGTATTTGCTGATATATTCTTTTTCTTTCTCTTATTCTGCATTTAGGAACCAATAAGTGGAATGTTCAAGATTATTTTAGAAACAACTAATGCTTAAAGGAGCTGATATTTGATAGCTTGAAAGAAAATTACTGACAGTTAACTACCATTAATAAGTCTTGCATATAATGTAATAGCTTCTTTTAGATGTCTTCCTAGCCTCCCCCAAATATTGGAAAATAATGTAAAGGTGTTCATCTATCAGCAGGCTAGTCCTCTGGGATAAACTTTGGTGTTGTGGGAGAAGCTGGCAAAAGAAGAGCAAGTTTGAAACAGGCTAGATTCAGCTGGAAGCAGTAGAGCAGTGTTTCTCAACCTTGACAATTTTAAGGCATGTGGACTTCAACTCCCAGAATTCCACAGCCAGCAATGCTGGCTGTGGAATTCTGGAAGTTGAAGTCCACATGCCTTAAAATTGTCAAGGTTGAGAAACACTGCAGTAGAGGAAAAAAAGCAGAAGAAACTCTCAGATATATCCATATGGGAGAGGTCATTGACAACAGCTTGAAATCCTGCTCTTCTAACTCCACCTTCCTCCTTCTTCATCTTGATTCAGAGCAGAACCTATGCAGTTCACTCTATGTTTCCTGGTGCACATACACAGAGATGCCACATGGAGAAGAGGATAAACGTACACTTAAATAGATGCAACATGTTACTTATACAATTAAACACAGATGCCTCCTATGTATCTTTTTAGTAAAGAATTCCAGAAGCCATGCTCTACCTTCCTCAGTACATTCACATAGTAGCCAACCTTTTATCTGAAATACTTTAATTCTGCATGCTTTAATGAGCTATGACAAGTAAAGTTTTCATATGCCATTTTTATTACATATTTACTCAGATAAATTAACGTATTCTCCGTTAACCTAAAAACATTATACTTCAGTAGTCTAGGCCTCACAAGCAAGGTGCAAAAATCCAGTACAGCTTAAGTTCTACATGTCTATGGAGATTCTCAGTTATCCAGGTCATGGTTGTCCAAAAGGTGCTTTTTTCATGAGGCAACTGGACTTTCTTGTTTTTCTTAAAGATGTTTCACTTCTCAGCCAAGAAGCTTCTTTAGCTCTGACTGGATGGTGGGGAATGGCAGAATTTATACTCTTTGCAGACAGCTGGTTGTTTGCATTCTTTTAGCGAGTCATTGAAGCCACTGGAGGCTTATCTGTGTCATCAGGGTCATCTTAGTAATGCAAATGGGTGTGGAGCCTTCTTGGAACTGTTGAAAGGACTGTGTTGTAGATTGGAGATAGATGATGTCATATCCTTCCCCCCCCTCTGTTGAGAGAGGGCTGTTCAATTTTGACATAGATGATCTCTTTGAACCCTCTTTCAAACCAGCTGTCCTCTTTGTCTAGAATGTGGACTTTGCTGTCTTTGAAAGAATGGCCTTTGTCTTTTAAATGCAGATGGACTGCTGAATCTTGTCCTGATGGATTTGTTCTCCTATGTTGTGCCATGCTTGAGTTTCACATTTAATCAAGTTTACTAAAAACAAATCTGGATATGATGAGAAAGCCACAAGCATAAAGTTACTTACTGCTTAAATATATAATAGATGACCACATATAATTATGTTTAGAGATTGGAATAATATACAGATATTGTAAAATTAATAAGTCAGTATAAGTAGTCCTTGACTTACAACCATTGGTTTAATGACAAAGTTATGGTGGCCTTGGACTTTTGACCTGTACTCCCAGTAATGGTGATTGCAGCAGCCCCAAAGTCATCACAATTTGGGGGCTTGGCAATTGGCTCAGATTTATGATTGGTTGCAGCATCCTGCAGTCACATAATCACAATTTGCAGCCTAGGCGGTTGCTTAGGGAAAGTGAAAAATAGCAAGGATATAGCCAGTCCTTTCTTGTCAAATCATCTTGCAGATTTGTTACACTGTTTACAGAAGTCTATGGAATATTCTTTATTGCCAATTAAATATACACACAGCTTCTGATAACAAATTCAAGATAAGTTGTAATTGTAAATCTTTCATTAAAATAACATGAAGCATATTGTAAACTCAAAGGTTTCTGTGTAGAAAATATTCACAAGAGCTTACAAAAAAGTCTGGAGAGATACTGTATCTCAAGTTCAGGAAGATTCAAGAATAGTCCTTTTCTGATCTAAAATATACAATTAATCGAACAAAAACATAACAGTCAGAGTCACTGGTAGGAGATTTAAGCATAAGGTTGCCTCAAATAGCCATCTCTAGAAACCATCTCTATCAGTTTAACCAACTGGTTCGGTCAATGCTTCTTTCTTTCAAGCAGAACACTTGACTTCCTCTGCTGTCTCTTAATCTGCAAGATGTTGCTTGGCTTGGGACCTTGACTGCATTTTTAATCAGCTGACTTAGGTGATCTCAGGGGTGCTCTCTTCAACCAATTCTTGTTGCAGGCTGAGGTTTACACCGCAAGCTCTTCAGCTTATGAATTTGAGGATTTGGACTGATCCTTTATGTCAGATTATACTTAGGGTATGTGGTTCGTCAAAAGACATGCTTTATGAATCTAGAACAGTGTTTCTCAACCTTGACAATTTTAAGGCATGTGGACTTCAACTCCCAGAATTCCACAGCCAGCATTGCTGGCTGTGGAATTCTAGGAGTTGAAGTCCACATGCCTTAAAATTGTCAAGATTGAGAAACACTGATCTAGAACTTTCTTACATCAACTTACCAATCTTGACAGGTTAGGAAAGGTTTCAGTAAAGAGTAAGCTTGACAGAATAGAAGAACTGATAGTGTTTTGTATGAATATGATATTGACAAAAAAATAGGCGATTGGGTACTGATATTTCAAATATTTTTACAGGTTTTTATAAATATAAAAGGAATAATAACATGTGATAGAAGAATAGAACAGAATTTGTGTGGATTTCTCTACAGGAAAGAGCATTTACCTTTCTATAAAATGTATAACAGACACCCCTATTATTTCCTATATATAGTGGCTATCAGGGATATAATTGCCTTAAACTATGTATGCTTCCTAGGTGAGAGCATTTGTAGCAATACATAAGCTTTGTTAAGTTCTTTAAGAGAAGAGTGCTCTAAGAATGAAATAAATAAATCCAATTACATTTCATTAATAGAATCAGTTGCTTCAGTTTACTATCTTGACCTCTGCCGGATGTTTCAAGGGTTGTTATTCATGTTTGTTATACAATTATGATAATTTACACTCTCCTATAGCCCTGGCATTACTTACCCTCATATAAGTAAGGGAAATCAACCATAATATCAGGCTACATTTGGTACTTATTTATAAAACCTGTAAAAGAGAACTAGTTTTGAAGAAACAGAATTTAACACTACAACATTTTATTTTTTTGTTTTGGTTTTTCAGTCTCAAAAACAGACAGATATTTAAGTTGATCAATTACTACCAGTGTAGCATGGAAACCATTTCAATATGGTTGATCACATGCTGCTGTGTTCAATCTACAGGGTCTCCATAGAATGGCTGGTTATATGATTAGTTCCAAGATGAGTATTTGCAGAATTGCTATGGAAGATGGAAGAGAACACATTCTAAAATATACCAAAATAATCCTCCTAATCCACATTTCCAAAGTAACTGATATGTAAAAACAGGTTCCAACAAACAGGCTGTTATTTTACAATAGTAATGTAGTAATGATAAATGACTTAGAGAAAAGAGAATGGCCAACAATATGATAAAACTAGGGCTGTAACTATGAGAGGCCTCTATCCTGATCTTTTCCCATTTTTTTAAATGTGCTAGTACTAGTTAAACTGATATGGAAAACAAGTTAAGTTTATTATAAATATTATTGAAATTTAGCCATTAATTCCAGAGGATGCAATCCTCTCTGCTGATGAAGCTATAACAAGAAAAGCCTGGGTTGATTGGTGTGTTCTTTTCTTTTCAGCTTTTGCAATTCAATTCTGTGGAACGTCTTGGTGCTGGAATTGCTGGAGTTGAAGACATCAAAGCACACCCTTTTTTTGCCACCATTGATTGGACCGAATTAGCTAAGTGAAAAACTGTACAAGTTGTCTATGCTTAGGCTGCAGACTTTTAACAGACAATGCTCTTGGCTTGCTGCCATCATGAAGACTTTAAGGTGTTTCCAGACCAGGATGCATAAATTGGAAATTGGAATCCAAACACCAAATGAAATGTTTAAGCTTGATTGAGCAAAAGAAAGGTGTGGTTTACACTTGTATGGACTGACTTCAATTCTTCTTTTGAGCTGGGATCACGTGCAGCGCTAATTGTAGGGCATTACAAGTGGTTGCCATTGCATGCCATGTATTTCCTTACCCACATTTCAAATCATGGGAATCTGGATGGAAAAGTAGCCCTGTGACTGAAGTCATATCTAGCTCTGGTGTTAGTGGGGAATTATGCAAATAAGAATGCACACCTTGTATTTTGTTTCATTTTAAACCAGTGGTTCTCAACCTGTGGGTCGGGACCCCATTTGGGGTTGATCGACCATTTCACGGGGGTCGCCAAGCAAGGCTGTCCGCCATTTTTTTCCCCTTTTCCGGCGGGTGCCTTACCTCCCTTGGGCTGGGCCAGCTGGTGGTCGGCCTGCTCCACCTCTGCCACTTGCCAGCTACGCCTCGGACAGTGCAGGGGGCGGAACCACGCATGCGCAGCGCTCCCGGGCAGGGAAAGTCCTCGACTTACGACCGGTTTAGTCCTCGACTTACGACCGGTTTAGTCCTCGACTTACGACCGGTTGGGGTCGCGGCATTAAAAAGGTTGAGAACCACTGTTTTAAACGATGATGAGTTGTGGAATTTCTGTTGTACATTCCAATGTCTATTATCTATGCCAACTGAATATAGCCCCCTTTTTATACTTTGGTAGCCTTGGCAGAGTTGAATTTAAGTGGACTGGAGAACAGGGAGAAAAATAACTTAACACTAACATATGCTAAATAAAATATTATGGTGCTTCTGCAAAACTTGACATTTAATATGTCTAGTTTGGAGAGGGGGATGGCAGGAGAATGAAAGCTAGCATCATGCAATGTAATTCCAAAATGGTTAAGTGTCATATCTTAAAATGTAATCTAGCTATTGCTATTTTGTGCTTGTTGGTTGCAAAGCAATGTTTGTTTTAAAGCACTAATTTTAACCTCAAGTTTTAAATCACTGCAAGATTAAAAATCTCTCATCTAGATAATGATTATTTTAGTAATTTAAATGGACTGAGAAAGTAGAATGCAGAAAAAAGTATGGCTGTATGGGTATAAGGAAAGCTAGCATTTATTGTATGGAAATTCATGCTTTCATATAGCTAATCTTTTTTCTTTTCTTTTTTGCTTACGTGGGAAATGTTCAAGTTTGCAGAATTCCAGTTACATGTACATGTGTTTTTATTTGCTCGTGTGAATTCTGAAAATGTTTTATCTTCTCAATTTTACTATAACTTTGTTTCTTCATTTAGAAACAGTACATTATTTTATGTGTTTTACCATTGTGAATCCCTCCTAAGGAGGAGAGTCTGCAAACAATTGCTCTGAGAAAATTTGGGAGTTTTATATTAAAGTGCACTATCAGAAAGATCATTTGGAAACCTTTCGCAAGCACTGGTGCTTCCCAATTGGAATTCCATTGTATGTGCCATGAACAGGGCCAACTGAAAAGGGATGGGTGAGATGTCTACAAGGGAACGGTTGTGCTTTTCATGAATATCGTTTTTTAAACAGATTTGCCAAGAAGCTGTTTCAGAAGACTGCTGACTTCTGATAAAATTAAAACAATGGTGATTTGGCTATTGGTCCTTAATCTGTTGATAATTTTGTTAAATGGAAACACAGACTCCAAAAATTGAGGATAAGACAACCTAAAGTTAATATTTACTTAAAATAAAGACTCGTTCTTTTAAAAGGTCAATGTGTTAGTACATGTAAAAATCTTCTGTAATAACTACTTTAGGATGGCTCATTAAGATATTAAGCTCTAAAAGCATATATTAAAATACCAGACAAACATGTGCCTTGTTACTTCCTTAAATTCATCCTAACACACTGGCGAGCCTTCTCTCTGTTTGCATCTGAGGCTATGCCTTTCTCACTATTTATTGCTTATGAGCAGTCTACATGGCTCTGAAGTACTTCCCAGGGAGTTTAACACGGGTTACCTGCCAAGAAATTTGAGGAAGACTGCTGTTCCAGGATTACAGGAGAAGGAGTGAAATTTTTACTCTTCAACTGTAGAAATGAAGAGATTTTTGCTTAAAATGAGAGCTAAGTCCCCCAAGTTTAAGAAGAGTTAAACCATTTCCAGAAATATTGATCAAGTTGGCAATTCCCTATGGGACATATAGCAAAAAGAATCAGATGATCTGAAAGTTATAAACACCAGCATTCTTTTATCTGTGTAAGTGTGCTGTAGAATACCAGGGTGCCTATAGGCTATTGTATAGTACAGACTCTTGTCTGTTTGTTTCTCTTAGTTTTATCTGGAGACCAAAGGGTAAATTTCTTTGGTAAAGAAATATTTAGGCTTTTTAGTAATTCCTGCTCTTCATCCTAATTCATACTGGAAGTTAAGATTTTTTACAGGCCATTCCCTATGTGCATCTGACAGGCTACATCTGTTGGATGCTAGAACTGGTGCTACTATAAAGTGGAAAAAGGAAAAGACTTCATTGATCCAAAGGAAATCTGGAAGCTCTGTTTGGTTCCTTTTGAAATTATCCTGCTCCTGTTTTCCCCCACCTCCACCCTTTGTGATAAAAACACAAACCACGGGACTGTAATAACACTGTAGGCTGTAACCAGGTCACCAAAAGAATTACTATTATGGAGGGCTATCTGATATTACATCATTCTCCAAAACTTCATTTGAACAAAACTCTTCCACTGCTACATAACAGGAACTCCCTCAGGTGAGCTGCGGCAACAACTTCCTGTGCTGAGAGGTGAGGAAATTTCTGAAGCTGAGAGAAATGCAGAGCTTCCTTCCAGCAGTGGCCGTGTGGTGGTTTTGGAAGAGAAGAAAACCTCCAGTTGTGACCATGAACCTTTAGCCATTTTTTATTGTTAGAGTTTTGAGTCTTTCTAGGACAGTCTTCTCTCCAGCAGAATGTTGGGAATTGCAATCCCAAAGCAAGTAGTGGTTTGCTCTTGTCTGGATTTCATCTAAATATTCATTCATATATATATATATGTCCTTCTAGCAGAGATTTTAAGAGTACTATACATGTCAGTTCTGAATCAGATAATTAATCATTTTTTCCTCTCCCTCTAAAAAAAGAATAAATGAATGAAAACAAATGACTGAGACAGCAGAAGGGAGAATAGCACCATATCCAAAGATGTGCTATGTGCTGGGGAAACTGGTGGCTGATTGCTGACTCCTGAAACCTGCTCTGGAAGATGGGATAGCCTTAGAACAAAGGGAGGGGAATATAGTAGGATAAAAAGGGTAGGAAGCTTCATTGCACAGACAGAAGTCCATTTCTTAGCATCAGCTATAGCCCGATGTCTGTCTTCATGGTGGTCTCAGCTGGTAACTCACCAGTGGGATTTCTGAACAAAATTTCTGGAAAATAAAAGAGAATGATCTGTTGGGAAAAGTTGATGGAGAGGGTAAAGTGTATAACTTATTAGTAAATTTTAATTATGATGTAAAATATTTGTAGTGTGATAACTTTAGTGGGATAATCTGAGGAAGTGTTAATGTGAAGTGTACGCATAAAGTTTCTCCCACAACCATCTGGAATTGGTGGTTTAAATTTGGAATTGAATCTTACAAATCTTTATCAGAAGCAATTTGCTTTTCATAATACAAGGTTGGGGAAATGTAGGCCTTTCCTGCTTATGCAGCCCATCAACTACAGAATATAGAACAAAGAAGGGCATTTTAGAACAGGGCTTTTCAACCTTTTCACCCATTGTACCACTTTTCACCCATTGTACAACATCCGAGTACCACCAGTTGCCTAGCAAGGTGTTAAAAACTTGATGACCCCCCCCAAAGGAAAAAAGTGATAAAGTATAGGTACTCCTCGACTTAAACAGTTCGCTTAGTGACTCTTGGAAGTTACAATGGCACTGAAAAAAGTGCCCCCCAAGCCACAGCCGAGCAAGACACCTGCCTGCCCGCCCGGTGGCACTCTTCCTCCTCCTGTCTGAGGTTTTCATTGTTGTGAGCATTTCTGTTGAGGATTGACAGCGGGGGTGGGGTGGGGGTGTTTGGTTTTTATTCCCCCCATCTTCTGGGTGATTGCAGCAGGTTTTGATCACTTCACATGACCCTGGGATAGTGTGACCATCATAAATATGAATCAGTTGGCAAGCATCTCAATGTAAATCACAAGACCCTGGAGATGCTGCAACATTACAGCTGATTGGCGCTTGTTCTGGGCTCAGCAGAAGCACAGGATCAGTGCTGAGCTCCAGCTGGAGCCTGGCGCTGATCCTGGCGCTTCCACTGAGCCCTGACAGCCCCAAAGAAGCGCCAATCAGCTGGAAAGCGGCACTGATCCTAGCGTTTCTGCTGAGTCCTGACAGGCCTCCAGCTCCAGCCATCTCTCGCTCAGGCTTGTGAGGTGCTGCCACCGGCTCAGCTCATTTCCCTCCCTGCTACCACTTTTCTAGGATGGTCGCGTACCACCTGCCAGGTGCCAATGTACCACAGGTGGTACCCGTACCACTGGTTGAAAAGCCCTGTTTTAGAAGACCAACATCCTCCTCTCCTAGCCTCCTCAATTTCCCCTTGTCTTCAGAAGAAAGCAAGAATTATTCCAGGACTTTTCCACTTTGGTATTGGCAATGGAACAGAGGTAGTCTCATTCTTCTTTGGCTATATTGAAGCCTTCTATCTGTGTGAAAAGGTAGATTGGAAATGTACAGAAATAGAGACTGTATCCCTCCACTAAAAATAACACTTACTGCATCATTCCTTTTTTTCACTGTGAAAAGGAAAATCTAATTTTCATATTTATTTTACTGAAGTATAAATGTTGTGATAATCCAACTTGTCTCCCATATATATCAAAAGGACAACGTTAGTAGTGTACTTATTTTCACAAGTGAAAATAAAGCAGAATTCGTGCAAAACAGGGAGAGATCCATAGGTTCACAGAATGCCTATACCGTAGTA